GATAAAGGTATTGTGATTCTGTTTTTGTTCTTAGCAGATACATGCTAAAGTATTAGAGGTGAAGTAACATGACATTAGCAATGTACTTGCAAACTGTTCAGCCAAAAAAGGAGGGGTATCTGTATGTGTGTAGAGAGGGAAAGAAAGTATGCAAACAGGGCAAGATGTTACTATTTTGAGAATAAAGGTGGGGAATCATAGTACTATCTTTCTACTTTTCTATAAGATTGGAATTTTTCAAAATAGCCAGGTTAAAATAATACTTCAGAAGAGTTTGTTAAAAGAAGCGGCAGAAGCAGAGTTTGTAAAAATACGCATTATGGTAAGTGAAATATCAGAATTAATGGTAGCTTTCTTTGCATAGCAGAGCTATGGATGATTTTCTCTATTTTCTGTACTTTTTTAGTTTTTAATAATGAGGCTGTAATGCTTTAGGAATTAGAAAAATAAAATATAATTTTTAAAGTATACACTTTTAAAATGGAGTTTATAAGTAAAAAAGAGTCTTTTGTTCGAGTAAGTTTCTCAGATGAAAGTAATGAGATATTCGTCCAATAGCATAGTGATCCATACAATGAAAAGGGTCATGTGAATCATGGATGGGGTATTATAACCAGGTATTGAGCACCTTCAATATATATAATAGTAACAAGTTACTGAGCACCTTCAATATATTAAGAACTTCATATAATCAAATTACTTAATAATTACAACACTACTCTAAGTAGGTATTAATAATTGTCCAAATCTTGTAACTACTAAGTAACACAATGACATATGAAACAAAGTCTGTCTATATTATAACATCTATACTCTAATAGTCTCTTGTGGTGGAGAGAAATGTTAGATAACTGAACTACCATTGGCTGAAATAAGTGAACTAAGCTGGGCAAAAAGATAAGAAGTTGCTGGTAGTAGCTCCTGCCTGATTAGAAATTCTGACCTAAAGAATATCTAGAACAGCCCGGCCGGGCATGGCTCAGCGGTTGAGCGTCAACCTAGGATCCAGGCGATCAGGGTTCGATTCCCGGTCAGGGCACATGCCCGGGTTGTGGGCTCAATCAATGACTCTCATCATTGATGTTTCTATCTCTCTCTCCCTCTCCTTTCCTCCCTCTAAAATCAATAAAGATATATTTAAAAAAAAAAAAAAAAGAATATATAGAACATACCTTTGAAGTAGAAAGCAAGAGCTTCCCCTTGTATGTTGCTAAGACCTTTTTTATTTATCTTTATTTTGGAAAGTATTACAGATATCCC